TACTTGTTAGTGTATAAATTACGTTTACAAAAACATCAAACGCGTTCACATCGCAGACAACGAATTTTTCGATTTTATCCCACTTAGGCGTGCGACTGCGCGTCGTCGTTCATGGTGCAGCATGTCAAATGGTGCATCTAGCAGAAGAGTTTGAAGCTCACCTAAAATCGCGACAGCACAGAGTCAAAAGTCCTAATTGTATTCCGTCCTGAGTTGAACAAAAAAAAAGTAGTATTCGCACTAGCAGTAATAGAAAATAATTGAATTACTATAGAGAATCCATGAGCACACAAATTCCTCTAACTGAACTTTGGCACACTGTTCAGGCACTTTGCAAAAATTTTTCGCTTCCTAGCACTTAGTGGTGGGAAAAAAATGTTCAATGTTGCTGCACTGCCGCTATTTTTAGTACATTTTTGCAAGCATTTTTCAACTTTACCATCCTTTTGTGTTTCTTAAAATTTTTCAATTAAAATAACGGGAAACTGCAATGAGTTAAACTTTTTCATTGCAATTGCTGTTGTTCTTATTATGGAACAATTTTAGTAGCGAACAATTGCGAAATTGAAGTGTACAAACTTTTAAAATATTTGTAGTTGCAACAAATGTTTAACCCCTTAATTTTTTGGTATTTTTTTGTTTCATTGCAGGAAGTCGAGTGAGGTACCACAGTAAGAAAGTAGCACATGTAGTAGGAAGAAACTAAGCGAATAAAGCGAAACAATAAAAAGCGAAAAAACGAATGACTAAAGGAAGTGTACGTGCAACTGAAAAAGTAGAGCAAAAACTGAAAGAAAGCAAAACGAGAAGAGGCAGAAGAGGTGTGAAAAATTCCACAGCCAGGAAGAGTAGCAGGAAAAGCAGTCGCAACAGGAACAACAGTAGCCAGAATAACAACAGCAAGAATAACAAAAGTATGCCAAACAATTGCACCACTACAACACTGCGAAGCACCAACGAGAGCAACAACAAGGCAGGCTGCTAGTGAGCCAACAACAGATTACGATGAAATGTTGACGACAGGAAGTGTGTGACGACAGGCGACAACGGCGCCGCACAGTGCCGCGACTCCATACAAATGATGGACAAAAATAGAAGGAGTGGTCAGAATTGGCTGAAACTTCACACCTAGAAGTATTATGCCCCTCTAATTTCAAAAATGAAATCGGTTTTTCTGTACCGGTTACTCATTTCGAGAAAACCGAGTTTTTCTTGCATTTTTATATGAAAATAGTCATTGTGGACATGTGTTGATATAAGTGGAAGGAGGCATCAGAATGGGCTGAAACTTTACACCTGAAAGGACTATATCACGGCAATTTAAGAAAAAAAAAAACGTTTTTCAGCATCTGTTACCATTTAATTAAAAAATTTTTTTTTTTACAATTTTATAAACAGGTAAAATAACTCATAATCATCGTAGACATATGTTTATAAAGACCGAAATAGTATTCAGAACTTGTTGAAACTTTACACCTAAAAGGAC